TAATGAGGAAAAAAAATTAACTTAAATGATTTTAGCAAATGGCTGCAATATAACAAAGAGTGAAAAATTGAAGGGGGTCTGAATACTTTCCGTACCCACTGTAAATCATGTTTTTTCCACTTTAAACTTCTGTCAAAAGTTAAATCTTTCCTATCTTTTAAAGATCTTGAAAGAGTCATACATGTTTTTGTTTTATCTCGCTTGGACTATTATAACTCCTTGTATGTTGGATTATCCCAATCCTCCATGTCAAATGGTTCTAAATGCCGCAGCCAGATTTTTAATGGGGTCCGTAAACGAGAACACATTACTCCGACTTTAGTGTCTCTGAATTGGTTGCCAGTGCATTACAGAATTGCATTTAAAATGGTGTTGTTTGTTTTTAAGTCATTAAATGGTCTGGCACCTTCCTGTTTGTCAGATCTTTTAAATGTAAATAAATCAGCCAGATGCTTGCGATCCTCAGACACTATTACTCTGTCATATCCAAGATCAAGTTTGAAGTTGAGAGGTGACCATGCATTTAAAGGTCTCTGGAACAGTCTTCCCCTATCTGTGAGATGTACATCTTCCATATATGATTTTAAATCTAAGTTATGGTCTTATCTTTTTACCCTTGTATTTAATTCATTATAATTCTTGGTCTTACTCTGACTTAAATTTTATTGTTTTACTTTTATTATTACTGTTTCTTTTATTTGATCAAATAAACACAATAAAAGTGGTCGACTTTTGCTGTGTTTATTTGTGCTTTATAAATAAATGAAATGAACTGAATGAATGAATATTTCTTAGTGCTAGCCATAACCTCTGATTATTGTTTGAGCTCTAAGTAAATTGTTATAGGTGACTGTAGGCGACTAAATGGAACCAATATTTAAATAACGGCAAGCATGAGGCGGCCTATTAAATAATATTAGTCATAACCTCTGGCTAATGATCAGATTGGCAAGTTTGTGACCATGAGGTTCTCTTAAACGGCTGACGCGAGACACTCTGAGCAACATTATTCCTAATGAACGAGTAAAATATATAGTAAAGGGTTGACTAGAATAATGAAGTGTCAGAATAATAATAATTAGAAATGGACAAACAACCAATTTGCATTTAACCTAAATTCAAGGTCATAATAAAATGGAGTTAGATTAGACTTTAATAGAAATAAAACTTTGTGCAGCGAAGAACGCACAGGAACCCTTCAGCCACCACTGGATACCTTTATTGGGCCAATTGGGTGGACCTTACACTGCCGTACCTGCACATGTGTGACAGAGTTGAGTGATGTCCAGATGTTGAGTCTGGTTGCTGATGGGATTGTTGAGCACACAGCTGTAGGTGTTGTTATCCTGATATTCCACCTCCAGAGGTAGAGAGAGACTGATGCTGAGATCAGACACACTGATGCTGGACAATAAACTGTTTCCTTTGTACCAGGAGAGAGTCACATGACCCACATTCACCACTGAACACACCAGTGAACAATTCTTGTACAATCTGAGAACGGAACAGCCTGTGCTGATGACAGGAACAGGCAGACGAGCTAGAAAATATTGGAGAATAAATCTATTTCAGTAAATAAGATAGCTGTGATATTTGTCAGTTCATTGCTATTTAAAACTGATGTAAAGTATTAAAGAAACAATGGTTATAAAATGTTGTTTAATAAAATAATTAATTAAAACTGCTTGAAATGCACAAATTAATGTTTACAATTACAGATTCTTCTATCATTTTTCAATAGGGTATAAATTTCTACTCACCATAGACGGTAAGATTGAATGTGCTGAGCGGCGTCTCTGTTCTGCTGCTGGTTACTTTATAAAGTCCAGAGTCTGTGGTTCTGGTGTTTGTGATGCTCAGAGATCCAGTCTGATGATCCAGCTGCAGTCTGCCTCTGAATCTCCCAGCAGCATTATCATCATGACACTTGCTCTTATTGTTCTTTCTGTTGATTTGAGCAATGAGAATGTTGTTGTGTCCAAATCTCCACAGTATCTGATCTTTTCTCTGTATATCAGTATCATCAGTGTTTAGAGTGACAGAATCTCCCTCCATCACCGATACTGACTTCACTTCATCAACACCAAACACACCTGAAGAACAAACATATAGTTACTCATATTTGCCGTTTTTAACCATTTTTAAAAGTTATCTGAAATGTTGCGATTGCAAAATAACTCTTCACTCTGCACTGAAGTATTTGGGCATATTAGTCTGATAAAACATGAAAATATTATAAATTATGGAAACAATAAATAACAGAATAATGTGCAACTGAACATTCAAAAACTTTGTCATAAAAATACTTACCGGACAGACTCCATGAGCACAAACAGATGAAAATAAAAGCCTGAAACATTTTATTTTTCAGTTTTGCAACAGAACTGTTACAATGATCAGGTCCTGACACTCTTGAAAACGTTGAATGTGTTGCCAGTCTGTATTAAAGTGGTTCAGTGAGTGTGAATAAACCCCTCCAGTAGCTCCTCCCACTCAGACAGACCCATTTCAGTCAATCTTCATGTTTAAGAACAGTTTATACTGACTGTTCGGACAACATTTTAATACTTTTACATAGTTTTCTTTCTCAAACCCCAGATTAGTCTATTATATAATTTCTTTTGGATCTTGACTGATGCACTCCAGTGTCTGAAATGAACAGGGAAATGGGGCAAAAAAGCCCCCAAATTTAAATTATGGAGGGAAAAAAAAAAAAAATCCCACAGTAATTCCAGATTTTTATATTTATAGCATGATATTTAACCATTATCAGGAGTTCTATATTTCCATTATTATCAGCATGATTGTAAAAGTGGTATTATTGTTATAACACTGATTTATTAGTTCAGTAAACAAGTTAATAGTTGTCTAATTTACATTTTAAGTTTTTTTTTAAGATTACATTTAAGTTTTTGCTACATAGTGTGTGTATATATATATATATATATATATTTCATGTAGCAATAAAAATGAAGACAGATTAAAATATTAGTATTGTAATTTTACTGTTGTTATTATTATGAACCACATTCTAAATATAGAAGCCGAACATTATATATTCCCTTCATGTTATTCACCGAGGACCCACTGCATGGTTGAGTTGAGTTTATAAATCTTTCCACTGGCCTTCACATTTGGAAAATGTGAAAGTTCAAAAAATTATGTTTTTAGAAAGAGTAAACATTCTTATTTCTTCTATCTGTAGGTCTAAATTCATTCTGAGAAGTCATATACAGTCTGTGAAGGGAGGAGTTTATTCACACTCACTGCAGAGCTTCACTTAACCACTTCACTACAGACAGACAGCACTTCTGCTTCTTTTGCTTTGTTACAAAACAATCGGCATTTTCAAGAGTGTCAGGACCTGATTATTATCACAGTTCTGTTATGAAACTGTTTTGGAAATTGCTGAAGAAAATGTTTCTTTTCATCTGTTTGTGCTCATGGAGTCTGGCTAGTGAGTATTTTTATGGCTATTATTTCCATCAGTTATTTTGCCACTTTTGTTATATCAGAATAAAATACTTCAAATTTTTGTGCTCATGCTGCTAGAATTCATTTACACAAAATAATGATCTTTAAAAAAGCATCATATGACCCCTTTAAGCATATTTCTCTCCTGTAAATTACTGAATGTTGTGTGTATGGAACAGGCAGGGGCATGTCTAGAGTTTTGGTGGCCCCAAGCAAGTGGGCCCAGGGGAGCCCCCTTAGCAGAAATCGCGTTCCGCCCAGGGGCCCCCCTGGACTGCAGGGTCCCACGCAATTGTGTTGTTTGCGTGCAGTTAACAGCAGTATGTACATGGCCTCCCTCATTCCCTTATATGTGGAATTACTATATTTAATGAAAAAACAAATACCATGACATCCATCCATCTATTCTCCAAACCACTTAGAACCACTTGTGAGGAAATTGCAGATACAGTACGTCTGCTGATATGAGTGAGAATGGGATAAATGTATAATGTTTTAAGTGACAGAAGGAGGAAGCTGACAGATGTGTAAATAATGATTGTGATAAATACGCTGATGAATGTGTATTTGTGTTTTCTTTCAGAAGGCTAAAGAGCAGGATAATGTGGTGTATGCAAGAGTCTCGAGAAGTTGATTAACTCTTGATCACTGTGATTCTGTTTTGAGTTAATCATTTTTAACAAATATGGGAAATGTATTTTATGTCAATACACATATATGCACATTAACGATTCCACAAACGTGGTCCATTTCTCATCATCATTTGAAGGGTTTCCCAATAAGTTCATAAAGGATTTCATTGAGGCATATAATGCAGGGGTGTCACTAGGCCTTTTTTAGGGGGGCTTCAGCACAAGCGTCAGAAGCCGAAAACAAGGTGTGTGCATTTATCTATAAATTGTTATGATATCTCCATCTGTGAAGTTTTTTTTTTTGTCATAAATGCAGTTTACATAATGTGATGCGAGAGCAATTACAAGACTTTACAAGACATCCACTGTAAAGTTTTCACTGCATTCATGCTTTATGACACTGCAGCTGTTTTCCTCCACCGAAAATAGAATGTGAAGGCATACTTCAGAAAATGTTTTTAAATTAAAATGTATTATTTAATATATAGGGCAGATTAAACATACTGCCAATCTAGACAATTACAGTAATATAAGGTTTGTCTATATATGATCTGGTTAGGTAAAAAGACTTGAAATAAAATCATTATTCAGAAGTTCACTTGATAGGTTGTGTTGAAACTTTTGTATGTATTGTTCCTGCCTTGTACAGTAACAATATATTAAATATTTTTAATCATACCCTCATTGGGGGCATATTGAAATCCTAGAATTTACTTATAGATAACACCACCCTGCATCATATTTGCTGAATGAAGACCTATACCTGTTTCTTACTAATTTTGGCCTACAAAAATTACAAGAGTACAAAAAAATTAAACATTTTACAAAAATAGTGCCTGTTTTACTCGAGTACATCACAATTGCTCACGAAACATGATGCATTTCGTAGCATTTCTGCTTTTGACAACCATTTGTAAAGTGAATATGTTTTGTATTATCCCTTAATCACCAGAAAAACTGCCACAAAGACATGATTCATATCTTCCTCTGAGCCAGGTATTAATTCTCAGCCGGTTTTCACATGTATGAATGATGCTTTACTGCACCCAGAGAGTGACAGAAAAATTACAGATAATGTGAAAAACAGTTTATTTATTTGATATATTAAATGGATTGAACATATTTTTCCACTTCTTTGCAAAATGTAAGTTTAATGATACATTTTGAACAGTTCTAAAACTTTTGGCTTTTGTTATTTGTGCATTAAATCTGATATATATTTGAAAAATGTTAATTCTGTGCAAACACTGTATGTGAAGGCATTTTTATTTTTTTAACCCAGCAGCATCAAATGCAATATTAGGTCTTTTTTTCAAATCAGCTGATTTTTTTAAGATGCAGGGCTAATAAATTTGCCAAAAAATCCTTTGAGAGTATCACTGTTGTTCCAAATGTGCTTTTGTTTGTGTTTTGTTTCATTTAAAGGATTTTTGTGAGTTAATGAATGTGGCATTTAGTCAAGGTCAAAAGGTCAAACGTTATAACATTAATTTAAAATATTATATTATTGGATTTTAATCCAGAGCTTTTGAGAACTGTTTTTGTTTTATTTATGTTTGTATTGTTTTCATTTGTTTTGTTAGTGCTGTAGTACAAACTGTTGATACAGATGAACTTGATGGAGCTCTACCTGCTGGATGAACATGTTATTTCACTAACAGTGCTCTCTCACAATCTTCAAATTCTTTGCAGACATCACAACATATGCAGCTCCACTCATTGGTTTTTTTTTTTTGCATCTTTATTCTGTTAGTCTTGACAAGTAAATCCATGTTCAGTTTTGCACTGTCAAGTTTACTGTGTGAATAATGAAATGAAATATAAAAACGGTTAAAAAATATTTCAGAATATGGTGTCTTTATGTAGGATTCACATGACCATTAAACAAGACTAATACAACAAATGAGAACAGCAGATCTATACACAATATCCCACTGGCAATAACATCCACTGCTTTTTATGATATAAATCAAAATCATATTGCTCCTGGACTCTGTATGAACTTTCATGTATTCATTTATCAGACATTTTTATCTAGAAAATAAATACTAGAGACACTACCAGGCCATTAAAAAAATATTGAAAACAATGAATTAATATATACATCTTTAATATGCCTTAAAAGGTGTCAATAAAAGGTGACAAACATTAACCTCATCTTGGCTGCGGGTGTTTCTGTTGAAAACAGTGTTAAACGGTTCTAGTCAGCAACGCTTCTGTTGACCACTGTAGTGGAAAAGAAATGTCGAGTGTGAAATGAAAGGCTGAGAAGAAAAAAACTGATCACAGTCACGCGATCACAAAACGAAATGTGTGAACTTTACTAACTTTTTTGTTTTAACTCTTAATTTGATCTTTATCTCTAATCACGACTATTTTTACCCATTGTTGCATTCGTGGCTGTTGAAGCCCATGATTTACAGATGTTTGGCCTGATCAAGTATCTCCACAGTCTTTTTTTCAGCTGTTAAAATCAGTTGTGTTGTTGATTCAGGTCACACAAACCACACTCAGCAGTACTACCGGCATCAGCTGCATCAGTCAAATGACTTTTCAAACAACCACAGATGAGTTCAATACAACAATCTAAACGAATTACATCAAACCATGCAAATCAAAACATGCATTTTTGTGCAAATATAGTAGCAACAATCAATTGAGAGCAGGTGAGAGAAGAACTGCAAGCATAGAGACACTTTCACCTTAAACACGCTGTGGTTTATTGTGCTTCTGCAAAGAACAAACATTGGTTAACATTGTCAGACTAAACTGAAGCTCTTAGTTGCCACAGGTGGCAAAACTTGCATGTGAACATGTGAGAGAGATGAAGTGTGAAAACCAGAGCAGAAACGGACCAGCGCTTTGGAAAGTTTGTTTTTCAGACCTGCTCTATATAATCATATTATGTTAATAACATAAATTATCAAACAGTTGTGTTTGTGAACTTCAATGTCACAAGGCCTGATATGTGCAAACTAATTTTGGAGGTGTATATTAACTATTCAATATATCCATTATCTGTTAAAAAATGTTTTCCTAAATTATTTTATGAATAATGTGATCACTGCCTTTTGATTTCAATTCAGATTTGCTGAGGTCATCATCAATAGAAGCTCCTGTGAAAATCTCAATATATTATTCAGCAGTCTGTGTATATCTGATCAGGAAATACCAACAGACCTATTATATAGCAGCTCACTGAACTCTGATTAAATGCCTTTAAAAGTCTATCATGTTGGTGATTGAAATCCTTTGTTTCCAGAGATGGATTCATGGTTTCATCCCAATAACAATGTGCTTTTAAAACACAGGACATTCATAATAATTGCAATTTTTGTGCATTTTCAGTGGCTAATAATGTGCATTGTTTTCTCTCTTCTCTTCTGTGGTGCGTTTCCCAAAAGCATCGTTAGGCAACTATGGCCACAAGTTCAAAAAGTCTGTGTTTCCTGAAACCACAGATCCAACGAACACTGGCAAACTGCATTGCAAACGTGTGTGGTTGAACTACGCCTCTCCAGCTGTGGTTAGAAGTAGAGCTTCATGTTAGTTTGAAGTGTTGACGCCACTGAGTCACAGCCGCTAGGCTGTGTTCTATTCAGAGTTACGCCCTATTCCTTTCGAAGACTTCACCATCCACTTTGAAAGATTTGGAAAGCTTAAAGTTGTCTTGTTCACATCTTACGTAATTTACATGTAAAGTTATTTTTTTTAAAGTTCAATTTTAAGCATGATTATCACAATTGTACTCCCTTTGAAGTGCACTCCGAAAAAATTTAGGCCATTTTGAACACAGCCATGGTTTGTGAAGAAAGGTGAGTTTTATTATTTAGGCTACAAGCGAAAATCTTAGTTACAGCATTTCCAAAGAAAGATTTCTCATATAACAATACTTCTAAAACAACATATCTGTTAATGGTTTTCACTTGTTTTATAAAGTTATCTGAAGCCCACTGTAGCCTACATATATGCAACATATCTGCAGTGGTTTGAATGTAGTGTCAAAAAGTGCTATGATATGGTAAAAGTAGTTCATTCACATATTAAATATTACACTTTATGCCTATTTAATCTCTGAAACCAAATATAATTGAAAAATCACCTGGCCAATTGAAAAACTGGCCGACACAAAAGAGTCATGTGCGCTTCCAGGCCATTTTGCCACAATATCAGTGAAGATCCCCAGGACACACTACTTAATGATAACCCTTCCTGCAGATGTACAAGGGCTCATTTACCACAGGGCTTACTAGATCGCTCTCATGAATGGTGGCAGAGCCTGACCGGAAGACAAGAAATTGTTGAATAAAGTGTTTTTTGTTGTTGTTGTTGTTGTTGTTTTCTTTGAGCACAAAAAGTATTCTCATAGCTGCATAAATTAAGGGTTGAACCATCGATGTCACATGGACTATTTTAACGATGTCCTACGTTTCTGGGCCTTGAATATAGTAGTTCCCTTGCTGTCTATGGAGGGTCAGAAAGCTCTCGAATTTCATCAAAAATATCTTAATTTGTATTCCGAAATTAAATAAAGGTCTTACGGGTTCGAATGACATGAGGGTGAGTAATTAATGACAGAATTTTCATTTTTGGGTGAACTATCACTTTAACCACCATAGTACGATGCATCGTTGGGAAAATGAACAATGAGGTGACGACCGGGTCCTGACGAAACCGTATTTTACTTTATTGCAGATGTTTGAACCACCCATTGTTTGAACCACATTGGTTGAGCTGCCGTAATGACGTTACAAAGGGGGTGGAGTAATAACTTCTGCATTAGATCAAATTCGCATTGACACTGAAAAGTATGGAGACAGAATTGTTGCTTAATTCCAAATAAATAGATTACGATCCATAAATAAATGTAAAGACATGAACAAACATTAAACATATTGACAAATAAATAGAATAAGATTTGCAAATAAAAAAAAAACATATTTACAAATATATATTTATGTCACAACCACAACTTTGCCTGGCATTTATTTGTGAATAGCGTCCTGTGCATTTGTATAGCTGCACGCATTTGTGAATCGCGTCCTGTGCATTTGCTAATTGTGAAACATTTCTTGCGTCAAGACGTGCTGACAATCCACAAATACGTGGACTCCACCCACCGTCTACTCAAGCCAATCAGATAACAGCCACATTTCGCTGACCAATCGTAGCACGGTCTCGCTATAGCCAATCCCGTTTTGCTTTACAATTAGGGCGGTCTCGTCCTGAGATAACTTCATTCATCTGCATTGGCTCAAATAGGTAATATAAGGGCCATAAAATGAGTACAGTAAAAGATGTTTAAAATTGGATTTCGTTAGACCATTAGACTGTGTATCATGCCAAGCCACAGTATTACATTTTACGTGCCTTTGAAAATACCAGAAAAACAGTGCGTGATGAAGTGTAGTAGGTTAGACTAGTGCGTGTGCGCATTTACAGTGTGTTCTTTCACTGTATGATTCAGTTTATTAAAATACATTTCAAATGATCACAAAATTCAAGATATGGGAGCAAAAAATTTAAAAATTAAAATTATGTAATATACAGTTCAATAAACAAAAAACAAAAAGTTAATTAAGAGACTTAAGTTTTAGACACCATATTGCCTGTTTTTGCTCTACTTCGACAACAAAAATAACTCCAAACAAAGCCAAAGTTTTACTGTTCAACATGATGGTGTTTCGTTCCTGAATGAATCAACCGTTTAAATGACTCGGTTCAATCGCAATGACTCACTTATTAACAGTGACTTGCTGCCACCTACTGGTGGTTTAAATTTCACATTCAATCACAATCTTTTCATTTTTTAAATAATTTAAAAAATGTTTGTTTAAAATATCAAAACATTATCTATGCATTTGTAACTGCATCAGCGAAATGTGGCTGTTATCTGATTGGCTTGAGTAGACGGTGGGTGGAGTCCACGTATTTGTGGATTGTCAGCACGTCTTGATGCAAGAAATGTTTCACAATTCGCAAATGCACAGGACGCTATTCACAAATGCGTGCAGCTATCTACAAACGCACAGGACGCGATTCACAAATAAATGCCAGGCAAAGCTGTGCTTGTGACAAATACATATTTGTGAATGTTTTTTTATTTACAACTCTGATTTTATTTGTGAACTTAATTCATGTTTGTGAAACTTTAAGACTTATTTGTGGATCTCATTCTATTTATTTGTCAACGTTTAATTTGTTCATCTCTTTACATTTATTTGTTGATCATGAGCCATTTATTTGGAATTAAGCAACAATTCCATCTTCATAACCCCTTTCGTGCTCTTCCCAATATTGTGACAAACACCATATTTAAAAAGATAACATTTGAAGAAAACCGTAAGGTAAGTGCGTTTTATTTTCAAAATTGACGCAGTGAGTCAGCTCTTTTCACTGCAAAAAAATAAGGCCCATCTCTTTCAATAAAAACTGTTTCTCTGGCATTTTCAAAGGCACGTAAAATATAATACTGTGGCTTGGCATGATACATAGTCTAATGGTCTAATGAAACCCAATTTTAAACATCTGTTACTGTACCCATTTTATGGCCCTTATATTACCTATTTGAGCCAATGCAGATGAATGAAGTTATCTCAGGACAAGACTGCCCTAATTGTAAAGCAAAACGGGATTGGCTATAGCGAGATCGTGCTACGATTGATCAGCGAAATGTGGCTGTTATCTGATTGGCTTGAGTAGCCGGTGGGTGGAGTCCACGTATTTGTGGATTGTCAGCACGTCTTGATGCAAGAAATGTTTCACAATTCGCAAATGCACAGGACGCTATTCACAAATGCGTGCAGCTATCTACAAACGCACAGGACGCGATTCACAAATAAATGCCAGGCAAAGCTGTGGTTGTGACAAATACATATTTGTGAATGTTTTTTTATTTACAACTCTGATTTTATTTGTGAACTTAATTCTTGTTTGTGAAACTTTAAGACTTATTTGTGGATCTCATTCTATTTATTTGTCAATGTTTAATTTGTTAATCTCTTTACATTTATTTGTGGATCATGAGCCATTTATTTGGAATTAAGCAACAATTCCATCTTCATAACCCCTTTCGTGCTCTTCCCAATATTGTGACAAACACCATATTTAAAAAGATAACATTTGAAGAAAACCGTAAGGTAAGTGCGTTTTATTTTCAAAATTGACGCAGTGAGTCAGCTCTTTTCACTGCAAAAAAATAAGGCCCATCTCTTTCAATAAAAACATAGGCTATAAACACTCCAAAATTGCATAAATTAGAATGTCTCAAAACGCATTTATAGTTCGTATCTCATTTTCCTACCGTATTGCTACCCTTAACTGCGTCATGTGGATGGAATATGCATGGAAATGATATGCAGATGACGTTATGCATATTAAAACTAGGCGTTGTAAGCTCCATATATGGCTATTTCGGGGAGGAGACGGGGGGGAGATTCATGTACTCACAATCTTCCGCTGACTGGGTATTACAAAGGGAACTTTGCGCAGGTTGTGACGTACGCATGGCTTTATAAATTTGAAAACTTGTACGTATGCACACATTTAGGATGAAATCTACGGAAAAGTTTTATACATGAGGGCCCAGGTCTCAGGGAGAGGAACTTAAAGCACTGATGCCAGAAAGCAGTTGTGAGAAAACGGCCAAATGACACAAACACCAATTCTTCAATCAAGCAATTTTCTTTTTATTTGAGGGGGGGCGGACAGGGAAAACATGCCATATGATTAAAGCACTGAATTGAAAAGCTCTCCAGTAGGTGTTATGCAAAATTCCCATGATCGTTTCAATGACCACATCCCTGACCACTTCCTTCACCACAGCCGCTCCCCTGACCGCTCCCCTGACCATATCCGCTCCCCTGACCATGACCGCTTCCCTGACCGCTCCCCT